AAGGAAGGAAGGAAGGAAGGAAGGAAGGAAGGAAGGAAGGAAGGAAGGAAGGAAGGAAGGAATCCCAGTTTCATAATTTCATATCAAGCAAAACTCAACTTTATTTAGTAGGCTTGAATACAGAATTAAAACGTCACCAAGGAAAGAAAGAAAAGCAAGAGCCAGCCTCACACTTGGCCAATCCTGGCCAATGCTCACAGTAAAACAAGTCTCTACTTTGCCATTTCAGAATTACTGTGGGATGGGAGAGCAGGGGATCTTTTCTTCTATGTAGATGAACTGTGGCTGTTTTAGCAAAGCCTTGGAGAGCTATGTGCTCTTCTTCCTTTCTCCGACCAGAGTCCACAGAATTGCTGCATGGAGAAGAATAGTGAGACCCACATCTGCCCAGTGACTCTCACTTCTCACAACTGCTTTGAGAATGAAAATTTAAAAAGCATAAAAAAATCATTTTGGAAAACAGACAATGCTACTAAAACACACAGTGCTAACATTCCAAGTCCTATCAAAAGATTCAGCACATTTCAGTGATCTTAATGGAACTCCAAACAAGCTAGAAAAGAACGACGCAGCCTATCCTGATTCACTCCCACCTACATCCGCATTCCGAAATGTGTACCGGCACCAAGGCCCTCCAGGGGCCAGATGGCCTTTGCTGCCCAATAACATCCCACGGAGACCATCTTCCATCTCTATCCAAACACAACACAACAGGAGAAGACAGAAGCAGATATGAGAGAATATCATCTATTAAGATAGGCATTAATAAGATTTGCAAACTAAAACAATGCTATTCTTCCAAGATGTTTTCATTTTGGAAAATAATTTTTAATACAACATTAATATTTCCACTTACTAATCTTAACAACATTTAATGAGTTTACTGTTACTTCTGCTGTTAAATAAAAACTCTCTGGGAAGCGGGTGAAGAGGTCCCAGATTCAAATGCTTTATTACCACCAAATTCTTTATTCCAACTCATTACACAGCTGACTGTTCAAATTCTAGCATTCAAGTAGAAGTAGCAAGAGAGGCACATTATAGAAAGAGCTCAGAATTATTTCCCACACACAGGAAAATTAATCTGGTCTGGAGATAATGTACACATTATTTTTTAAGAAATATTTAACAACAGGTGTGGGGAGGGAAACAGAAGCCACCTTGCTGTTTGACTGACCCACTCCCCATCCCCTTTCCTCTCCTGTCTTGGCTCGGAACTGTGCCTTTGTATTTAACACTACCTTTGCCAGAAGTTGCTTTTTAAAAGTCCTGAATGACAGTTATTAGATTAGTTATAATTAACTGGCTAATTTTTCATAAACATTTTTTCTCTAAAAAGTTTCGATGGTGAGAACACACATGGGTGGGGAAGGGACACAGTTATGGGAACCTGACTTCCTAATGTGCTTCTGCATGTGCACATGCACCACTCGGTCCCGGCCCTCCTTTACTCAAGCACACCGTTACCTCACAGGAAACCAATTTTCTTCTCCCACAGTATAGCAGTGTGCAGGGTCCAAGACTGATCCCAAGAGTTTACTGAGTGATTAAAAAACTAGTGGAACAATTCCCCAGATAAAATGTTTATCTTTACAGATTAAAATCTCAGTGTTTCACCCAATCTTCCCCTTATCTTGAAAGCATTAGTCTGTTTTCCCCTTACAGATTTTGGGAGCAGAGCCTCACCACCACCACCCATCCCACAATATGTAGAGACACTGGACAGGAGCCACCAGGTTGAGGGCTCCCCTTCTTCCCAGCTCTGTCCCACTGGAATCTGCTGCCTCATGATCCTGGAAAAGCCCCCTGGAACTGGAATGAAACTCTTATTGGCTGGGGAATCTGGAAGACTCACAATTTTGCATAAAAGTCACAAAACTCCTTGTAGACTTTGACATCACTGTGCCTGCGCTGCAGTCTGGACACAGCTCTGTCATCTCCATCAGTCTGGTGGACACCGTCAGGGACTGTCCAAGGGGCCTCCTCATTCTTGGGGATGGTACCGGGGTGCGCTCTCTCTGGGAAAGCCATTTCAGTGCTGGAGAGCCTGAGCCCCGGCACAGGAGAGCAGGACACAGGTGGTGGAACAAGATCCAGGCCCCCGCCTCCAGCCAGTCACAGCCTGCTCCCACGCCCAGCAGCTGGCTGGCATCCCAGGAGGGGAGGCACAGTGTCCAGAGGGCCTGGGGCTTCCTGAGGATCTAGAAAACCTTCCCAGACTTCCCCATGGATCATGGCCATGAACTCTATTAACAGAGACACAGGGCTGCTTCCCACGCCTCCAAGAGAAAAAGGCCCCCCTGTATCCTGGTATTTGTTAAGGTCAGGGTGGCACTGCACCCCCCACTGTGCAGTACAGACTCCCTGGATATAGTGCAGGACATCCCTCAAGAGCTCCCATGAGGTGACACTGCCAGCACCCTGCAGTGGCGCACCCACAACACTGTGTATGACTGCCAGCTGTGCCTGGGAAGCTGTGAACTCAACATTTCCAATAGTTTTCTGGTTTTCCTTTTGCCTGTTTTTTTTTTTTTTTTTAATTGGTACTGGGGATTGAACCCAGGTCCTTGTGCTTGTGAGGCAGACACCGGAACCACTGAGCTAAATCCCCAGTCCCCCTTTGTCTGTTTTTGTTTTGAGATGGAGTCTTGCTATGCTGCCAAGGCTGGCTTTGGCCTCACAACTCTCCTGTCCCAGGCTGTCGAGTGGCTGGGGTTCTAGGTGTGCCCACCACAGCCAGCTCTGTCTTTAGGTTTTTCCACATACAAAATCCTATTGTCTACAAATAGGAATAATATGACCTCCTCCCTTCCTATTTGGATGCCCTGAACAAGACTCTTTTACTGAAGTCACCTGAATGTGAATTATTTTTATTCTTAGAGATATGACAATACCAGGAAAACATTTTATAACTGCTTAATCCTTTAGTATAACAGCATTTTGTATGGGGTAAGGTAGACTTGTGGCTTTGTCTCCCTGTTTACAACTTTTCCTGTCTCATCCTTTCCTCCTTTCCTTTCTGTCACCTGGAAATATCTGAAGCTGGGAGCCAGAGGTACAGAAGGAAAGATGGTGTAGATGAGCAAAGTCACCATCTTAT